CATCAAGCTGCTGCAGATCTGATGAACTTTGAAGAGTGTGAGGACCATCTGCGTGCTGACAAAGAAGACAAGAAGTCAGCAAAAGAGGGAGAAAGGGGGGAGAGCAAGAGCTTTAACACCAATTTTCAGTCTTGCACCACACACACACACACACACACACACACTCACAGACTTATCTGGGTGTGCTGACCCAGAACACCGAACACAATGAAGTGGTGCAGCAGATTTCCCATCAGCGCAATGTAAATGAGAAACTCCTCAGCTCAGTGGGTCCAAGAAAAAAACACAACCTCAGGACACAGTTGCAAGCACTCACACACACACACACACACACACACACACACCGGACACAGATGTGCGTGCCCACACGTACACACACACATAGGAGTTGTGTACGCGCTCACAGCGACACACACACACACACACACACAGATACCAAAAAGATAATGAGTCAGCACGTAAGAGATAAGGGATTTGCTTATCGAGTTAACTTCACTGGCTAAAATAGAATCAGGGGGCTGTATTTGATGGGCCCCATGACACAGTATCGCCCTGCACACACACACACACGTGGCCACACTCTCTCGCTGTCGACACGCATTCTGCACTTGCAGCTCTCGATTAAATATTCAAGTTATCCACTGACAAACATGTATGGATATATGGGTTCAATATTCAGAGTGTGCATATGCATGGATGCTCCCTGTATGTGAAAACACGGGCCGGCCGTCCACACACACACACACACACACACACCCCTGCAGGCTGCGTTGTGTCAACCTACTCATTGATCAGTTTTCCATGTTGTTGTTGTTTTAAGTCATGCATGAACTCTGCCTCTCCTCACACAAACCAAGCTTTACACACCGTGTGCTCTGAGCCTGAACAAACTGGCTCCACTTCCTTATAAGATATAGTTTATAGGCTTAATAAAATACGCCAAGGTGTAGCATTGGGAAGTTTGTACATGCATTTCATAGAAAACGTCCTGCTCACATATCAGACCGCCAGCAATATGTGGGCTTTGAATGCTCCAAAGTGGGACTGATGAGAAATATGAAACATGTTCAGCATGTCTTTGTTTCTCAGCCTGGAGGATGATGGAAACTGGAATTCATTTCACTTTAAACTGCAAAAACGGTAGGTTGACGTCATCTCGCCATAACTGTGTGATTTTGGAGTTTAGAAAATCTTGCCTCAGTTGCCGCAATGAGAGGATCTCAAAGATGCTCCCTCAGACATACAATGCAGGGAGCAGTTTTCTCATTGTAATGGTTGAAAATGATTATCGGCTGGGTGACCTGTGATCTTGACTTTGTCCTGATGACGGCACTAGAGGGATAGTTGGACATTTTCGTAGTTATGGTACAATAAGGGCTTGTGCCGAAACAGATAAAAACTTTGTAGGAACATTGGGCCGATGGGACACACTGGATAAATTGCATTTACTGTAAGACTTGGACCGACCACTGTCAAAATGACAGGGGACCTCTTCTACAGCAGATATTTCTCAACTGATCATAACAGGAAAAAACCCACAAGTTCCTCCAATTACAGTAATGATGGCTCCATTCCATTCAGGTGTGCCAGTAGCTCATGACAGTGAGTTCAGCTCGCTCAATGCTGGAGCACTGAAACTGGAAACGCCTACAGTACTGTAAATGAACAGCAGCCATCGTTGATTTCTCTTCTTTACACACTGGGGGGGGGGGCGTTTCTTTGTGCGATTCGTTTGATCGTCAATACATTTTTTAGAACTTTGTTTTTTTTTGTCATGAGTACTTAACACAGGGAATGCTGAAAAAAGTACAAGGTCTGAGCTTTCAGATCGTGAATAAAGGTGTCAACCAATCGCGTTGTGCCAAATTTGTATAGTGGCCAAAAGGTGGAATTACAATTTCCTGGTTCGTCACATGATGCCTTTGGGCCCAAAAAAAAACTTTTCCCCCGTAGACTTACATTGGGAAAGAGACGTCTGTAAGTTAGCGGCTAATTTTTTTCTTTCTTTTGAGATAAATCAACTTCTCAGTATAAAAACTTGAATAGCTCGGCAGTCAAACGGTTTCTGCTTCACGCACCACTGAGCAACTTTCATAGAAACAAACAGGGCGCAGCCTCCAATGCTGTATCAACTTCTCTTTATACGTCCATGATGTCAATGTGTAGGTTCCGAATTCCGAACCTGGATGGCAAATTGTATAGCGCTTTTCAACCTTGACAAGGCAGCGAGGGCCAGATCCCCCTCCTTCCATTCTAACCTTTCACAATAAAAGCCCAGGACCTATAGTATTCATAACTGTGTTTGACAAGTCAAATATATCTATAAGAAAATACTTTATTCACGTGTAATTACAGTACACTGGTAAATGTTTATCCGGTCATGAAAAGAGAGCTTCTTCAATGTACCAAATCTCATTTAAAGTGTCCAAGTCTTTTATTTTAAGGTAATACTTGACTTGAGTAGCATGCTCAAAAAGTGCAGAATCATTTTCATAACCACTTTCTATTTTTTGCTTCCTATTAAGATAAATGACTCAATGCGCCTCTTTTTTCTGTTCAACATTTAAAATGTTTTTTTTATTGTTGTTTTGACATACGAATAACCACAAATAAAAAAAACCCTCTTCACTAAAAAAGAACAGCATTGCACTCAATGACTCGAATAACAAGAGCAAACTAAAACGGAACATGAGGCAAGCGTATTCATAAAGGACGTGCGTCAGAGACTGTTGGGTTTACACAAAATAATTCACTGCAACAAAACACTGTGCGTCACGCAACGGTGGTTTACGCAACGTACTAGAGGTTGAACCTTCAAACGTTCTCTCAGAGGAGTAGGACTATCCAGGATCCTTTATGGAAGTTTCTTCTTTCTAGCCCAGCCTACAAGATGTATCAACGTATAGATGCGATTAGACGCTGAAGAGGAAATTGATCGGCAACAATTTAAAAAAAAATGGTGAATCATTTAGGCTGTTCTTTAAGAAGAAAAAAATGCAAAACATTTTTATAGACCAAACAATTTGTCGCTTAAACAGCAGACTAACTCATAATGAAAACAATCTTCAGCTACACCCTTACATGAGTCTCTCTCTATATATGGAGTATTAAAATCCTAGTGCGATAGGCAAACAGGGTTAACAAGTGGTGGGCAACAATCTGACAAACGGCTCCTTGTTTCATCACCTTGAAAGTTCAGCTTGTGACTTATGAGAGGGTTAGTAGAGCGGCGGCCCATTAAAGCCATGACATTTTAATAATTGCCTCTAATCTCAGCATCATGGAGAGCCACAGTGCCTCCTGCGCAGACATGCACACACACACACACACACACACACACACACACACACACACACACCCACACACCTTAATCATTGATGCTTCATGATTAAGCATCCTCTCCCACTGACGCTTGACCCCACCCCTCACACATACACTACCTGTACCTCCGGCCTCGAAGATTGATGGCTTTATGATAGACACACACACACACCCCTTTTCTCTTAGTGGATATGGAAAACAGTGCTTTGGCTGCACACACACACACACACACACACACACACACACACGCGCGCTCACCACATCATTATCCCTTTCCTTCCCTTTAGGCACCGACTTGGCTTTTGCCGGTTCTCCAGTCATTTGTTTGCGGGCTGCAAATGATCAGTGTGGCTTAGGCAGCTGTTGAGAGAGGGCACCTTCTCCTGTTGCACCTGGACCATTACGACCATCACCTTCCTTCAGATTTCTATCCTCTTCTGGTTTAGCCGGGGTACAAAATAAAAGTCATTCTGGAGCTCTTTAGGAAAATGTGTTTTTATCTACATATAACTGTAAAAAAAAATTGCTCGAATTGCTTTTCACAAACACAATACGGATGAGTTCAGCCGGGCTGATGTAGGCTCAAATGTTAAGCAGCATTACAAAGAAATACTCATGCTGCGATATGCACTTTAATCATTCACTGGAGACAGATCTGCTGTGTTGCATACACACAGAGCGGGAGGAGTGTGTGTGTGTGTGTGTGTGTGTGTGTGTGTGCAAGTCAGAAAAGGGTGTAAATGAGGGAGTACCAGGAGGAAAGAAAAACACAAGAACAAGCAGCCGAGCAGCCCTAAGGAAGCTTTTATGGAACACTAAGAAGGGAATATAGAGTGATGAACATCCAGCCTGCTCCTTTCACATCGAGGAAATTGCATTTGGGAATATTGAGCTGGCTGGTATGATGAAGCACACAACTCCTCCACACATGCACGTTTCCTTTTATATGGTGGCGCTTATCAGCAAGATCATATTTACAGAGTCTCAGCTGTGTGCATGCAGCACGGACACACACACACACACACACACACACACAGACAGACAGGATCTCATTTGGTCTGCGCGCACAGGGGTTGGATGAGCACTATTGAAAGAGCGGAAATGAGAGTCGGTGCAAACAGGCAGGGAGAGAAAAGAATGAAAAAAAACAGCGAGAGAAGAGGAAGTGGCGGAGAAAGAGAAAGACAGAGCACGGGAGCGCGGGATAAGTGAGTGAACGATAAAAGGAAAGGAATGAAAAGAGAGTTAGAGGGAGACATCCTCTAACTCCATGGCTGTTATTTAAAAAAAAAAAGGCTGTTGCTGACGTGGCTATCATCCCAGCGTGAAAGAAGACATCGGAATTATTTGCCAAAAGAAAAGACAAAAAATGTTTTTAAATGAGAGCAGCCGGGAGTCAACAGGTTCCGCACAAATGGCGAGCGGGCAGACCATTAACCGGGGGAGAGCTGCTGACTCCGTCGAAAGGAGTGACGAATGGCAAGCTAAGCAGCTATCACATTAGTGGAGAACAGCGAGGCTGCATTGTGTGAGGGCTGTGGA